CGATTCATCCGAAAGTTTAATGTGAAGTATCCAACCAGGGCGGAGTGGGGTCCCGGTACCCGGAAGGTCTCCGGAGGGAGTGGGCAGGTCTGGTACACGAAGAGGGCTCTAGCGCCAGAGTTTTTGGGTCCAGAACTAGACTATCTCTGCGGCAGGACAGGATCAGCTAGCAAGCTCGTTGGTCCTAAGTCGGCTTTAGGAGTGCCCGCGCAAAGATTTAGGAGGAAAATAGAAAAGTAGATTGCAAGACAATACTCTCAGAACTTCCTGTTTTCTGTCGCTATGAGACTGAGCTACCACAGGAAGACTATACTGGGGACTCAAGCCTATACTCAACTTTGCTAGAAGGGCGAGGCTTGTTGTCTAGGGAATGTAGAAGCGCATGAGGGCCCGTTTAAGTGGCCTATGCGCCGGCTCCTCACGGTGGCCGGTATGCTTCTAATTTCATAATTCATTCATCATTCATTCATGAGTCTCAGCTGCTCTTCTGTAACAAGTGTCAGTTATGACGCCCTTGTATCTCATGCGAATAGCCGACTCCTACTCTGGTTACAAGGGCGCATTTAATCATATTTTTGAAGAGCGAGGCGTGGGATACGATGCAGCCACTTAGGCAGAATCCCAAATACCAGGGCACCACGGCTGCTATGTAGAGCTTGAAGCAACTTTGTTAATCCGATTTTTTTAACTGCTTATGGTTGATAGAACTGCAAAAGACCTCCTCAGGTAGATTGTACCATGATCTCGATACTCTAGAGAATTTCTGCAACATTTCATCATTGGTTCGCCTGGCCACACCGCATCTCGAACATTCCAAGGCAAGGTTTCCACCTCTATGATCATAGAAATGCGATTTTGGTCAGTACCCATCTAGTCACATCAAAATTGGAATGAATAAATGATTCTAATCAAAATGAAAAGAAACTATTAAAGGAAATGTTCGAACAGACCTCCTTTTTGGATTTGACAGTAACCTAACCTATTGTAGAAGCCTGTGCGAACATTTTCTGGTGTAACATATTGGCAACGCGACAGATTGCACGACCTTCTGCGTTACCGTTGTTGATGACCTTCGCTCTTCAGATGGCTTCTATCTCTTTCTAACATGTGATCATACACGCTTCTGATGCTTCTTTCTCGTACACATTGAACGCAAGCCGTCAGACAAATCTGGTTTTCCCTGCATAATCTTATTCAATGAAATAGAGCCGCCAATACGCCACCACTGTCGATATCTGGTTACTTCTTTATGGCGCCGCTATTTATCTAAACCATTCATAATTAGTAGACACATGGTCGACATCGTTAATTAACAGAATCATGTGTAACGTATTCTGTTCTAATTATTTATAAATGTACTATAAATATCTGGATGCATTAGATTGATCAGCAGCAATGCATTGCTGTTGATTCCATAAAAGTCATATTGCCAGAATGTTTAGCTAACTTTCAACTAAATCTATTCAAGAATCCTCTTTAGTTATACCTACGTCTGTTACAGAATGCAGGCAGAATTTAGCACAATACGCATATTGAGCAAAATCGAATGACAGTAATCCACGGAATAGGTACTTTTACTTCCCACACCTATTGGCGAGGATTCCCTGTACATTTTTTATAGTTCTGACTTGTTTTTTTTTTCGTTTAAGTACTCTTCAGAAGTGTGTTTTTTGTAGTACTACTCTTAGTCAAATGTCTATTAGGACCCTAATTTGGTACGTAGTAACCAATTTTTGGGAGATAGACCATTTTAACAAGATGCTAGTATGTAGTGTGGGATTTGTATTATTTCAGACCTCCTATCACGTCGAAGGTTTGCCTCAAGTAGTGTAAACAGTTTAAACGTAGGATACGTAGTTTAAACCGTTGAATATACTAAGTGACATATAAATCCGAACACCCAGTTTAAATGATTTTATTTTAATAAAATTTTGTATAAGTACTTAATGAAGCATAATAAGTAAATGATAAAAATTTCAAAATGATTGCACTGCTTTAAAGCCCTTTGACCTTTAATAATGTGTGGATGCACCCTGATGTGCTACGCATTCTCCAACGCGCCTAGGCATGCTTCTGATCAGGTGGTCAATGTCCTCCTGTGGTATCTCATTCCAGGCAACCACCAGCTCCTCTCGAAGTGCTTCTAGAGTCTGAGGAGGACGTTGCAAATTGAGCAATCTCCTGCCCATCATATCCCACACGTGCTCAATTGGGGATCAGTCGGGAGATCTTGGTGGCCATGGTAACAATGTGACATCATTATGTTGAAAGAAGTCTATTGTGGCTCTTGCAACATGTGGTCGGGCATTATCTTGTTGAAAAGTTGGATCTGCCAGGGTGTCAAGATAGGGTAAAAGATGGGGTTCTAGAACTTCGTGGATATAACGCTGCGCGTTCGTGTTACCTCTGATGAAGATTAAAGGTGACCTGGAACCATAAGCTATAGCACCCCAAACCATAACTCCAACAGTGTGATGAACATGTCTTTTAACAAAAAACTGTGGATTCCTCCTTTCACCACGTCGCCTTCTAACCCTGGCACGACCATCGTGCATGCCTAAACAAAACCGAGACTCGTCACTAAAGACAATACTGTTCCATTCCTGATCCCAGAGTGACCGTTGTCTGCACCACTCAAGGCGATTACGTCGGTGTTCTCGAGTTAAAGGGAGGACCCAGTGTGGCCGGTATGAAAACAAGCCAAAACTTCTCATTCGTCGTTAAACACTTCGCATGCCAATAGGTCTTCCGTGTTCTGCAAACCATTCATTTGCAACGGACCTGGTAGTGGAGAAACGGTCCCTTAAGGCCAATAATCTTAGGCGGCGATCTTCACGGTCTGTTGTTCTACGGCGGCGTCCAGTGCCGCTTGCTCTTTGCGTACGGCCTTCTCGAAGCCATGCCTGACAACACCTAACCACAGTGTCTACACTTCTTTGCACTCTAACTGCAATTGCCCGAAAAGAAAGTCCAGCTTCCCGAAGTCCCACTATACGGCCCCTATCAAACTCACTAAGTTGACGAAATCGTACAGGTCTCCGTACTCTAGGCATCGTAACCGATCGTAAAGGATGTCAAGAACCAAAATCCGCCAACGTTGATTCTTTACTGCGGCTGAAATATTCATTTTTAGAGCGTTAGTGAATTAAAAAAAAAGGAGTATAAAAACCGGAATGTCCAAGTGATAAGGCTAAAAAATTTTTCACTTGTTGTTTACAGTAAGATAAATACATTCACCAACTTTTATTAAAATAAAACCATTTAAACTGGGTGTTCGGATTTATATGTCACTTAGTATATTTATACAGGGTGTATGAAAAATAGACAGAGATATTTTAGAGGGTGATTCCTTGTTAACACGTATGGAAAAAAGTTTTTTTTAACATGGGTCCGGAAATGCAGAGTTTTCATGATACAGGGTGAATAGATTAACATTACTAGGTCCAGAGGCGCCTTGCGGGCACCTTAGCGAAATACTATTAGCAAAGAAATGTACGCCACTGTCTTTTTTGTATCTTTAATATTTGCTGATTGATTAAGTATCTAAAAAACAGCTCCTTTGCTTCTTGTATTTTATTCTTATCTCACTTCGTTTTCGAGAAAAAAAATAAAAGCCGTTTTATTTCATGTCACTGGACAAGATTAGCTTATTAATTTTTGTTAAAAAATTACAAGTGCCTTGGAAAACAAAAAATCATTTCTGCATGGAGGTTTACAATTAACGCGTCAGTTCTTCTAGAAAAGAATTCTCCACGTAATTTTCTTTGCGAAATTTCCCAAAAAAGTTTTTTGAGTTACGAAAAGTACATTTTTTGCCAATAACATTCGCTAAGGTTCCCACCGGGACGCCACTGGATCTAATAATTTCAATCTTTTAGGGCTAAATTAGCCTCTTAACAAATAATACCGCCAAATTTTAACAAGATCAAGAAAATATTTTTTGAGATAATTATAAAAAAAATATAATTTACCACCATGTAGCTTGAAAACTCGGATCCATGTTTAATCCTGTATAATCATCTGGATGCGGATAAGATATAACGGAATAGCGTGTGGTGAGGCAGACTCTATCAATCTCCCTGTATACTACTTACAAGAACACCAGGCGAAGCAAAGATGGTGTCACGTTTTTAGAATATACTATCTAGAGTAGCTACGCCTCGTTTCAGTACAAAGCTGAAAGTTTTAACCACGTTTCTCGGCAAAACTTTGTATTTTAACTAACTCGCCAGCAAATAGCTTCTGAAACTAAGTCGGAACTTTGAGAGTTTATTCTCCAACCTTATTCAGTGTTTATGGTGAAATGAGAGACTTTGTAGACCTACACTCATCAAATGTAATCGTTATTCATGCTTGAGCACTTTTCTCTTGTTTTCGAAAGATCTGCGGCACATCTACGGACATTTAGGCCGATAGAGGTACTCTACCAAAAAAAAATGTTCAAGTATCAGCTTACTGGCGAGTTATTAAAGTTGCTCAAATAGCATATTGCTGAAAATTGTGTTTTCGTCTAGCAGAGTGACTTAAATCCCGCTCCATCATTCAGTTTGCAAGGCCCCCAAGATTTATTAGACAGTAATACAATAAAAGAAAGCAATATCATTTTGTTACAAGCATGCGCAAAAAGGTGAATGATATATTCTAAAAAACGTAGCGTTTCTGAGGTATATCGCGACTATTTCAATATCTAAACAAGGACTGTGAGAAGTAACAACAAACTTTAAATGGTAAATTTGGTATTGAGTGAAAATTGACTGAATATGGTAACAACCTTCACGAAATGAGCTTACTTTTTTTTTTATAACGAAGCAGCCGCGCAGGCAGAAACCTAAATGCCGGAACACCGCGGCTGCTATGATGATCCCAAAGAAATTTTATTAATACGATTTTTGAACTGCCTAAGGTTAGTAGAACTGGGAAAAGCTTCCTCTTGTAGATTGTTCCACAATCTCGACACCCTCGGGATAAAGGAGCGGTCGTATCGGCCGGTTCTGTATGTACGAAGTTCGACACGGTTAGGATGGGACGCCAAAGAGAGAAATTGATGTCTTTCTTGGAACTTACCGAGCTAGAACCTCAATCCCACAAAGATGGTTAGAATATGCTCCAAGCATTTTTTGCAACACGATTTCACTACTGATGCTAGTGGAAGAACTTGGCTAAAACCTGGTGCTGTTCCAAAGTCCATTTGGCCAGTTGTTTCCTCTCAATGGTAAGAATTTTATACACTCACAAAGTGTTTTTTAGATTATTTCGCCCAAGGTCACCTTACTCTATGTAGATGGACCCACAGGAATTTCGGGACCTGAGTCCAATGTGGCTTGAGCCCCCAGGTCAAAGCAAGATCAGGGAAAAAGAATTATTCAGACATTTCTGAATTTTGGTTGATTTTTGAGCATTTGGGTACTCTGACCAAGCTGTGGTTCTGGGCCTGGGCCTATAGATAGATAAACTTTATTTGTTGCATTTAATCACAGTGGTGATGTGAAACTTCTCAAAAATTAATACAAATACACAATAAAATACAAATATACAATACAAATAAGCTTAAAATACAGTAAATATCACAGATATGAGATGACATTAAAAATCACTGTCCTCCAAAAATTCTTGGACCTGATAATAGGCCTTGTCACAGAGGATAGTATGCAACATTTTTTTGAAAGAGTTGAGTTATCTTATTCCAAATTTTGGTTATCGAGAATTCAACATTCCTCTGGAGTAGAGTCATGGTCAATGTGTTTGATATGAGATTAGATCTATTTCTAATACTGTAGTGGTGGAAGTATGGATTCTGGAAAAGATCTGGATTTTTTTTCATGAATACTATTGATTCTAAGATATAGATACCAGCCACAGTCAAAATGCCCCTTTCTCTGAATACTTGTTTTTCAGCTGTCATTGAAACACATACTTAATTTCTTTTGAAGGATTAGTGCTCTCTAGACAGTTGTTGAATTGCCCCAAAAAATAATTCCGTATGACAGCCTGGAATGCACATATCCAAAATACGCTGTTGAGGCAGCCCTCTTGCCAAGATTTCTAGACAATATTCCTATCACATAACTGAATATGGCAACAGATTCACATACATCTTCAATATGGTCTTTTGAATTGAGGCAGCAAACTATACTAACACCTAAAAGTGAGCCAGTGTTTACAGCATCAATAGTGTTTCCATTAAAACAGATAGAAAAGTTATTGCTTTCTAAGTTTCTACTGAATTGCAGTAGTTGTGTTTTCTTTAAAGTTAACAGTAGTTTATTGGATGAGAACCAGTTCTGAAGTTGTTCTAATTTTAGTTCTTGCCTCTGCGTGTTCACTGATAACAAAAGATGTATCATCGGCATTCATGTTTAAATCCTGCATTAATTGCATTATATCATTGACATATAGAATGTAGAAGAGAGGACCTATTATCACTTGGTCTGTTATGAATATAAAGCTTGTTATACAAACAGATAAGAATGGTTACTTAATTGGTGACAATATAATATATTATTGTTTTAGTACATCATCATCAAGTATTGATATTTTCCCAAAATAAGTTTCTGTGATGCCAAAAGGTATTGCAAGCTCCCTAGATGAGACTGGCAGCTCCATAAGAAGCTCTTGATCCAGAATTAATACTGATGAAAGGTATGTTTCATGAAAGATCCATGTACTGTAGGCTAATTTAATTTAAATTTGGAAATGTACTATTTATTTCATCTAAATGTGTTTTAGAAATTTTAGTACAGTGTTTCAACACAATTAAAATAAAGTCAGTTGTCTAATTATAATTGCTTCTACTGGGCTAGGAGTATCAATGCAAAAATGTACTGTAAATATTTTATATTTGTATTATAAAACAGGGTAATCCAGAAATTATATCAACATTTTAGGATCAAGCACATGAAAAATTCATAGAAACAATAGTCTCAATACTGGGTATAGAAGTGGTACATAATTTCAAGATCAGAAAAAATCTTTGACGTTGATTGGAAATTTTGACCATTAGAAGAGACAAAACAAAAATTACATTTTTGAATGTATCTGATAAAATCTGAAGAAGTGTATCTAGTGTTTAGTAATCCTATCCAGTCCTAGTATTAAGGGTCATTTTAAAAGTATTCATGCTTTGTCCTTATTCACTTCCATCAGTGGTGCAGAAATTTATAATACCTTGTATCTAGGCAATGGGACATTTTTATACAAGTGGTCATAGGATATTTTGTCACTTTTAAACCTATTTTCTGTCCTCCAAAAAATACTGACATTGCTTTTGAATCACACTGTTTATCGTCCATTTAAAATTGCTATTTTCAATATCTGTTTGAATTTTTGATTTGATATATGACTGGTATCTTCAACTGTTTATCAGGAAATTAGTTTTATTTTTGAAATTGTAGAATCCTGCTGAAACATTAAACGCTTGTTCAACCTGGACCTTCTGCCATTGTAAATCAAGCAAGATGTCACATATTTAAGATTATGCATAAAATATATTTTATATTTTTTAGTTTCAATGTGGAAGATTGGCCATCATCAAGTACAATCAGTAAGTGGTATAAATCAGTTAATGGTTCTCCTGGGTTCACACAGGAAGCCTTGGAAACTCTAAAAATTCTAAAGCGACAAGCAGATGCAAATGGTTCACATGTTCTGTGCAATTTGGTTTTAGATGAAATGTCAATTCGACAACAAAGTGGACAATAACCAAATTCACTGGATATGTTGATATTGGGGCAAATATTGATTCAGATATGCTACCTGAAGCAAAGGATGTACTTTTTGCTGGATTAGCTGCTACGGAAAAGGCAGAGTTACTAAAAAATTGTTTGACCTTTTTATACGAGTCAGCTTAAACATTTTGATATTTTGCACATTTTCAAATCCCTGCAATGTTCATTGTCAACTGCTTATTGTTAACATAACTTGTGCTGGTGTGATATCCCAAATTTACAATTGTTAGGTTTATTTTTTGTTGACACATTTCCTATTAAGAATGTCAAGAAAATTTTATTTTGCATTCATTGATCTCCATATAAATTATTTTGTAAACCATCAAATAAACATTTTTTTAAGTAGGTATTTACTGTGTTTTATTTCTTAAATATTGGGGACACACATTTTGCTATTTTTGTTTACAATCATAAAATGGAAGCACAATGTGTAAACACATTGCATGTTTTGCATTCATGGCCGATGATTATATGTATGAAGAGCGGGGGGAGGGAAGGGGGGTTGCATGCTTTTTGTTGGAGACTCCACGACCGAAAAGAGGGACATTTTTGTGTCTCCAGGCTTTTGTCAGGAACAGTAGGACAGAGTCCGAAAGTGGGACCTATGGTCACCTTAATAATAGTATACCTCAGACTAAAAATATAAATAGACAAATAATTCCCTACAAAATATCGTCGTCAACAAAACTGTATTTACGGTAAACAAATATATGCGACGCTGCCACTTCTCCATACTGAAGAATCTATTGAAAATGGAATGAGATATTGGTGTGCACTCCGCCCGAAATGAAGGTGGACTTAAATAAGGTGTGGACGCTCAGGTCGATCGTGGGTCGATCAAACAACTGCTCCTAGGCAGTTGTCAACGTCATTTTAAATTTTAAAAATTAATTTTTTCTTTTCATATTTGTTTATACTCGCAAAAACGGTCACAGAGGTGGCCGACACGCCGTAAATTCAATTCAAAACGGATGCAGGTTCATGTTGGGTAATTCATAGCGAACATTACATATAATATTTTGCCCAGTCAGTTGTTTGACTGGATTTGTTCCACCTTGGACGAAACTTGCTCTCATTCGAAAGTAGCACATTTCTACCGACTTTTTGCCGAACGTGGCAACGGTGTTCAACGGCAAGTGGTGGATGCGTACACAGAATTTACAAGCATCTGGTGTTTGTTGTTGTGCACAGTGAATTTGTTGGGAGTATTCAAAAATGTTTTTAGGTTGTTTTAGCGGCAATTATAGCATTGTTATCATTGATAGCCAATTTTCAAAGACAATGGGACGTCGGAAGTGCATTCTTTGTGGAGTTAGCAGTGAAAAAACTGAGGCAACCTTCCACAGGTGAGTTAGAGGTTAGAGGAGGACAATGGCGTAGCGCATGGGGATGCGTTGTGATTTTTAGTATTAAGAAATAGACCTTTTATAGTTATTGGTTGTTTTTACACTGTATGTGTGGTGATTTTCAAAAAAGACTCTTCTGTTAGACACGTTTTTGATCTTTCAGGTTTCCTAGTGATAAGAAAAAACAAGAAGAATCTCCAATGGGTGAATGAAAAGATAAAAGTTAAACTTGCCGTCCAGACTTTGAGCAAGAGTGTTGCAGAAGCATTGGACTTTTTGAACAAAGATCTGGCTATGGCTGACTTCAAGGATTCAGAAGCTACAACATATTTTTGTAGAACAGTAAACAATTTATTTGATGTTTTTAATTCAAGGAATAGGATGTCAAAAAAACCTTATGAGAAACCGTTGTCACCTGCTACTGAACAATATTTCAATTTCTTAGAAGAAGCGAAGGATTATTTGAAATCGTTAAAATTAGGAGACACTAGAGTTATACTTTCTAGAAGAAAATTAGGATTTTTGGGATTCATAATTTCAATAAACAGCCTGTATGAATATAGAGTCAAAGAAACCAAAGAGCTGAAGTACCTTCTCACATATAAGTTATCTCAAGATCATTTGGAAATTTTCTTCAGTTGTATAAGAAACAAAGGAGAATACAGCGATAATCGTACCTCGCAGCAGTTTCAGAATATTTTAAAAAAATTATTACTTCATACTGAAATAAGTGGCAATGAAGCATCCAATGTCGTGGTATTAGATAATACATCTATTTTGCACTGTTCATCATCATCTTTAGAGATCAAAACTAGTGAGGATATGACCTCATCATCAAACAGTATAGAGGAAGATGAAGATTTTATACAATTTAAAAAATTTCTTCGAATAAGTCCTTGGTAGCTTAAACTGTATTTGGAAAATGTTGCATATGCTGCAGGTTTTGTTGTGAAGAGGCTAAAAAGTGTATAAAATGCCAGAGTTGTTTAGATTTGGTAGAAACTTCAGAAGAGTCTATATCGAAATTACAAATAAGAAAAACGTATGGAAAATTAGTTAAAGCCTCCGGTTTTGTAATAAATGTGTGTAAATATGAAGAACATTGCTTTAGGTTATATAAGGAAAGGTTAGAAGTTGGCAAAAAAATATGACAAGAGTTTCACAAATATTAACAAATTATACATTGCAAAATTTACCTATTGGATTCGGAAATGTGTTTAAGGACCATGTATTCGAAGATGAACCTTTAAGTAATCATTTTCCATTGCTCTGTAAACAAGTTTTAGAACAATATTTTACCATTAAGTTGTACCTTTATACCTCTAACTTGAATGCCCCTTCAAAACGTGTACGATCATTACTCACAAAAAGTATATTATTTCAAAATCAATAAAACCTGATAATTACAAAAAAATAAAAAGCAAAATTATAAAATGATTTATAAATAATGACTTAGGGAGAGTGACAAGTCCAAAGGAACTGTTTTACTGAAATATGCACTAAATCTCCAAACATGGATTGACTACTATAAAATAATGTATAAACCTACCCCCAATGTTGACTTTAGCTTTTTAGATGTTTTACCTCCATATCTGGATCAGCATATATCAATACAAGAACTTTTTGACGCGCTAAATGGCTAAAATGGCTATTAGAGTCTACCGAGTACACTAAATCCCCAAGTATACCGTTATGTATAAAACGATTTATAATCCAACTTAAGCTCCACAATAAATGTAGTCTCAAAATCTTCCTAAACAATATTTCATACAGGGTTGACCAAACAGACTATTGTACAATATGTAATACTCGAAAGACCGAATCTTTAAGACATCTCCTCCTGGAATGTCCTTTATACAATCCATTGAGAGAGCATATTCTGTCAGATCGTTTGAACCAAATCTGTGTCTTTGCTTACCTAAATAAAACGAATGAGTTGAATTTATGATACAAACTTTTTAAATACTTTAGGGAATTATTTAAGCTAAGATCTTTCTTAAGGAATGAATAGTTTTTTTGTGCCTTCATTATCAAGACAGAATATTTAAATTGATGCGTCAATTATTTATTCTTTTTCTGTTTGTTTATATATTTTTTTATGTACAACTTTTGATCATGGTTACTATCATTTTCTTACTATTTTTTTTTTTTGTATTCATACTCTAGACAGGAAAGTTTCTACTCAATTCTTATTATTTACATAATACTCTCTCTATTGTTTATATACCTTTGTACTAGGTATTATGAAACAATAAACCTGATAATTGAGTTCCAATAATAAAACCTTGCTTACTTCTCTGTGTTTATTCTTTTCACTCCCATGGAAGGTGATACTGGGTGTATTAACCAGAACACCATTACAAAAAAAGCACCTACGCCACTGGTGGAATCAGCTGTGGTCTGCACATACACAGCTTATTGTTTGTATTTGTTTTGAATTGGGTTTGTTTGTCTTCATGCAGTGCCGTAAGAATGGCAAGTCTATTTGTATTTTTAGTCTGAGTAGTATACCTACAAGAAAGACGTTTTTTGTACCTCCAATATACTGAGAAATTTATTGGCTTTTATAGCCCTTCATGGCCTACATTGTGATACGCCTATGGTGGGAATTCCGTAGTTGACCTTGATCCTTGTGCTGTTCCAAGCCTGGGGCCAGTTTGATAAAATAGTGAATGAAAGTTGGTATTTCCCGCCACTCAGGTTCGTGAACATAACAAACGGCGGACTTATGAATGACTTGCAGGGTCTATATGGGTAAGACGTCAATGGTGTGACCGCTCTATTTTTAGGGTTATGTTACAAATATCTATTTGCATCAAATTGTTCAAGCTTTTGATTTATATGTTCTGTTATATCAGCCTGAAATTTCCTGAAGTTCAATAAGAGAACACAGGCTCACAATAGGAGACCGCTGACGCTGACACAGAATAGTAGAAATCTAAAAATACCACAGTCCTTCTGAAGTAGAGAAAAGTCTATAAAAATCAAGGAGGCCATAGAGGTCATGAGAACATCACCACGAAAATGAAATAAAACAGCATGCTCTGACAAATACTTGTGTTTCTAACAGCCAAAATGTCTATCAGTCTAACATAATTTGGTGAATACGGTCCTAATAGCCCCAGCGGGCTAATCGAATTATACATTTTTATTAAGCCCGGAGCGGAGCTGATAGTGAGGTCCGTAACTCTATTAACCTGCGTTGTCCCGCTAAATGGATATATTGCAAAAAAATGCACGTTACAACTACCACACACTGGAAGCTGAAAGCGTATGTCGATGAACCTCACTCTACATGTTACTTCTCCATTATGTCGTGTACCGGCAATAAGCGGCGACAGCATCAGGGGTGATTGACGTGACAAAAGGCACCGTTCTGGGAAATATACCGCTGTAAAGCGAATAAGTTTGTGCTGCAGTTTTGTACTTGCCTGATGGTTGGTCAAGCGCTGTTTATTTTTTTTATAGACTTTTATTGTGGTGCCAAAGAATAATATACGTACGGCAGGAGAATTATGAAAACAAACCTGAACAAGGTCAAAAAAAAGAAAAACGACAGAATGTCATCTTGCAGACTAGGTAGTTTTTAGTGTGCAAATAGTTCATTTCACGTTTGCTCGCTATGATCGCTGTGAGCTTTAGCAAACGGTCCATCTATGGAGGAATGAGTCGACATGACACGCTCAAGCATTCTATGTTGGTTGCAGAAAGCCAAGTACTGTTTATCTCTTAGGAGATGTGAAAGAAATAAAGCTGGTTGAGTAGCAAGATTGCATCTGGATTAGTATGTGTAGTGATCAGCATGTGTATAAAATCAGTGATATTTGCTTTGTGAGAAAATTATTACTGAAGTATATCTATTAGCTTTGCCTTACGAGTTATTCATATGTTGTCCTTTCTTCAGACAGGTTATATTCCCTACTCCCTACTGAGCGAGGGCCGTGGCAAATGCTTGTTCCGGAAGTCGTTGTATCCAGTATACAACTTCTTCCCGTCCAAGTGATTGAGCACGCGTTAAGGAATACCTCAGTACCGATTGCTGGGTGGCGGTACAAGTCCGCCAACGGGCCACTTTAGGTCTATTTAACATCACTAATACATAAAAAGAAGGTGGTAGACAAGGACCAGTCGACCGAGGCAGTACCACCCGCTAGCTTTTCCCAGGGTGTCTTATAAATGTCCGCATGTTTCCACACCTAAGCTATGCAGTCGGTTATCTACCAAAACAAAGAAATTAATGATGATGGATCCCTCGAGCACTAAAAACTCCGGACGTAAACTCACTCCACTCTCGGAATGTCCGGGTGGAGGGTGGGCTCGAGGGAACAACATCGAAGATAAAATTTGTTTTTCCAACATCTGCGGGATCAACAGCAACATTGATGCTGTTCATCACTACCTGCAATCGAAATCGTCCCGCCGTGCTTTTCTTGGCGGAGACAAAAATCTCAGAGGCTGCACCGATTAACCATCTCAACTTCCCAAACTACGAGGTGCACTCCAATCTGAGAAAGAACGGGGGAGTTGTGGCTTTTGTCCGCAGCAGTCTTTCCTGCTCCAGGGATCTTTCTTTGGAATCAGACCGGAAGGACATTCTGTGGCTCCGCCTCAACTCCAAAACATCACCCAAATTTATTTGCTGCCTTTATCGCTCTCCCTCGAACCATAACTGGGATGACCTACTCGAATACCTCGCCGTCCAGATCGACTTCCTGAACATCAATCACCCCGCTTCAGAGGTAGTTCTTCTCGGTGATTTCAATGCCCATAATGAGCTTTGGTTGGGCTCAAATAAGACCGATGCAGCAGGTCGTGCAGTCGAAGCGTTCGCTCTTACTCACCAGCTGGTGACGAGCCCTACTTTTTTCCCCCGCGTCTCGTCACACGCCAGTAGCCTGCTGGATCTCTTTCTGACCACGCATCCTGCCCCTTACAGCACTGCCGTCCTGTCCCCCCTGGGTAACTCAGATCACGGTGTTGTGGAGGTTAGGTTTCGGTCAGAAGCCGCTGTGGCCGCAGAAACTCGCACAGGCCGCAAAACTTGGCATTACGGACATGCCGACTGGGAGGGGCTCAGAGACTTCTTCTCTAGCTTTCCTTGGAGAGATGTCTGTTTCACTGACGCAGATGCGTCGACTGTCTGTTCTTCAATAACCGAAATTATCCACGTCGGAATGGAGGAATACATCCCTCACACAGTGAAAGCTCCTAAACCAGGGTCCAACGGCTGGTTCAACAAATCGTGTGACACTGCTCGCCAGCAGAAGATCAAGGCCCACAGAACCTACTTACAAAACCCCTCTGTAGAGAACAGACAAGCCGACGTCGAGTCCAGAAACAAATATAACGAAGCGGTTCGCAATGCCAAAACCCAGCATGATATAAAAGTTTGGCACAGGGTAATGTCGCAGCGCAATGGCAGTCGGTCTTTCTGGACGCTGGCCAAGCAGATTGAAAAGAACTTCTCACACAGTAGCCTTCCACCACTTACGTGTCAGGATGGAACTATTGTATTCGACTCAAAGGCCAAGGCGGAAGTGCTAGCCAAGATCTTTGCTGCCAACTCCACCATGGACGTCCCCACCAACGCCCAAGTGCCGTCAATTCAAAGGGTTCCCCACACTATGCGGGAGGTAACATTCAGGCATAAGACCGTAAGACGAGTGCTCTTGTCGCTCGACATCAACAAAGCTTCTGGTCCGGACTTGATTCCTGCCATTGTACTGAAGAGATGTGCAGCTGAGCTTGCTCCAGTTCTTTCGCGTCTCTTCCAGATATCTTATGAATCCGGCACCTTCCCAGAAAACTGGAAATTTGCTCGTGTACCGCCCATCCCAAAAAAGGATCTAAAACCGACCCTTACAACTACAGGCCTATAGCCCTGCTTTCTGTTATAAGTAAAGTGATGGAGAGGTGCATAAATCGCGAGCTTCTGGACTACCTCGAACGTCACAGCTTGATTAGCGACAGGCAGTACGGTTTCCGGCACCAACGATCCACAGGGGACCTCCTAGCTTACGTCACGCAACTGTGGAGTAAACTCATCCAGTCTCATGGTGAGGCTCATGTCGTTGCTCTTGACATCACGAAAGCGTTCGATCAGCTGTGGCACGCTGCCCTCTTGAGCAAACTTCCATCCTACGGCCTCCCAGAAAAGCTTTGCAGATGGGTGGCTGACTTTATCTCTGGCCGCAAGATATCCGTCGTAATTGACGGATTCTCCTCTTCATCCCACAACGTCAACGCGGGTGTTCCCCAGGGATCGGTCTTGGCTCCAACACTGTTTCTCTTACATATCAACGACCTCCTTTCCTGCACGATCAACCCAATCCACAGCTTCGCTGATGACAGCACTCTACATGCAGGAATTCAGAGTGACAAGCCGATCTCTGCCGCTGAGCTGGAAAAAAGAAGACTAGCGACGACTTCTTCTCTGACAAGAGACCTGGAGGCTATCACTGCTTGGGGGCGCAACAATCTTGTACAGTTCAATGCTTCCAAAACACAGTACTGTACTTTGACGAACAAAAAGCGTCCTAGCGCTCATACAGTTTCGATGGACGGTCGAGTTCTACCAAAGAGCCATTCATTTCGGTTGGTCGGAGTCCAGATCACCGAGGACCTGATCTGGCACGAACACATCTCTTCAATAGCTGCAGCTGCTGGGAAAAAGCTAGGCTATTTGTTTAGGGCTAAGAAGTACTTTTCTCCGCATGACCTTCTCACTCTATACAAGGCCCAGATAAGGCCTAGCCTCGAGTATTGCTCACACATTTCCAGTGCTGCCGCCCCGACTACATTGTCCATGCTCGATGCTGTCCAGAGGAGGGCGGTCCGACTGATCGATGACTCTTCTCTAACAGACAGTCTCGGGACTCTTTCGCACCGGCGGGCCGTCGGCGATCTAGCTCTTTTCTACGCTACACCAACGGGCTTTGCTCCTCAGAGCTCTCTTCCATGATGCCGCCGCGCGATGTGCCTGCCAGACAGACCCGCCTGACTTCGGCGTCCCATCCTAACCGTGTCAAACTTCGTACATCCAGAACTGGCCGATACGACCGCTCCTTTATCCCGAGGGTGTCTAGATTGTGGAACAAACTACGGGAGGAAGCTTTTCCCAGTTCTACTAACCTTAGGCAGTTCAAAAATCGTATTAACAAAATTTCTTTGGGATCATCATAGCAGCCGCGGTGTTCCGGCATTTAGGCTTCTGCCTGCGCGGCTGTTTCGATATATAAAAAAAAAAAAAAATTCAAAGTAATATATTACGTTTTTTCCCATTTTTTTGTATTATCAAAAACTTTGAGGAGAATTACGGGAAAGCACCAACGCGCCGGCGTTGTGTGTAAGTACTGTTAGCATGTGTGCATTTCTCAGCAAATTTCGAAATTCGCGTCCTGAGCCATTGATTCTAAGTTGCATGGATTTATCATCAATTTAACATTTTCATTATATCAATAAGTATCTAAACTAATATTTTAGAAACAAAAATTTAGATAATATATTGACACAAAAAATACGATTAATTTTTTGGCCTAAGTTCATTCCCTCATCTCGTCCCTGGGTCTGAAATGCATAATAACAAAATATATACAAACAAATCTGTTCATATTCTTATCAATTGAATATTACTAAAATATTTGGTAATAAGTATGGATTGTATAGTCAATCTTTCATTTCTCTGTGTCATTACATCACTGTTTATATTAATTATGCGAATGTTTTGAAGATTTTAACTTGTTTTGGGGAGTAACATGCATTCACAAAATGCTAAA